GGTTGGGATATAGAATTGTCCTATGCGTACTGGAACGTTTTCTAGTATACCGACAGGATATTTGACTGATCGGTCAACTAATTGAACGGACATCTTGGTTGGTCTTAGTTCTCCCATATTCAGCTTTTTGCATATGGATAGGGGCATAACACTGATACTGGCTCCTAAATCGCACAGAGCTTTGTCTATTACGAATTTTCCAATGACACAGGGTATGGAGAAACTATCTGGGTCTTTTAATTTAGGAGGCATGTGGTTTTGAATAATAGCGCTACACTCTGCAGTAAGTGTAATTGTTTCGTTATCCTCGATCTTTCTCTTATTTGACAGGATTTCTTTGAGAAATTTAGCATACGAGGGTATTTGAGTGATAGCTTCTGTAAAAGGAATAGTGATATTCAACTGTTTAAGGAGCTCTACAAATTTCTTTAACTGCCCTTAAGTTTTGGAGTTTATTAGTCTTTGAGGATAAGGAATCGGTGGTTTATATGGCGCTGGAGGTGTTTGAGTTTTTTCACTTGCGGTGTCCTCCTTCTCGTTGTCTTCCTTCTTCTCTAACTTGGATTCCTTTTCTGCTTGTTCAGTTGGTTTTTGTTGCATGGCTGAGTTTTCGGTTCTCGGATCGATCGGTTCGTCCAATTCTTTTCCGCTTCTTAATATGATAGCATTTGCTTGCCCTTTTGGATTTTGTTCGGGTTGTCCAAGAAATGTTCCAACTGGGGCAGCGGCAGAGGCTTGTTGTTGAGCCACTTGTGATATCCGTGTTTCTAGCATTTTGTTGTAGGTGGCTAAAACGTCTACTTTTCCGGTCAGCTGTTTAATTTCCTCGCTAGTGTGTATGTTTTGATTTAGGAATTCTTTGTTTGTTTGAGCTTGAGTAGCTATGAATTTTTCCATCATCAACTCGAGGTTTGATTTCCTAGGGGCAGTCTAGGCAGCAGCTGGTTTCTGATATCCTGGCGGAGCAGCAGGCATCTGCAATGCATTATCGCTTTTGTAAGAAAAGTTTGGATGGTTTCGCCAACCTGGGTTGTAAGTATTTGCTAAGGATTTCCTTGAGCGTAATTTACTTGGTCTGGTGGGATTCCGGCTAGCAATGGGCACTCGGGCGCATTATGAGTGGCGATTCCGCATAACTCGCAGTTTGGAGTTACGGCAGCGACGGTTGCAGTGGAGTTAACGGTCAGACTGTCGATCTTCTGTGCTAGAGCATCTACTTTAGCGTTGAACTTTTCAAGGCTGGTGATCTCGTACATCCCACCTTTCGCTGCGGGTTTCTCTGCTGGAATGCGTTCACCTCCCCATTGGTAGTGGTTCTGAGACATGTTTTCGATTAGTTGATAGGCTTTGTCGCATGGCTTATCCATAAGTGCACCGCCCGCGGCAGCGTCTACCGTTAATCTGGTGTTGTATAAAAGCCCATTATAGAAAGTATGGATCGTCACCCAGTCTTCTAGACCGTGGTGAGGACATGTTCTCATCATATCTTTGAATCGTTCCCATGCTTCGTAGAGAGATTCAGTATCTTTCTATCGAAATCCGTTGATTTGAGCTCTAAGCATAGCAGTTTTGCTTGGCGGAAAATATCTCGCTAAGAAAACATTCTTCAACTGTTCCCATGTCGTAACGGAGTTGGATGGTAAGGATTGTAACCATGTCCAAGCTCTATCTCTAAGAGAGAAAGGGAAAAGACGAAGTCTTATTGCGTCTGGAGTTACTCCATTTGCTTTCACTGTGTCTGCGTATTGTACAAACTTCGTTAAATGTTCGTTCGGATCATCAGTTGCATTTCCTGAGAATTGATTTTGTTGTACAGCTGACAGCAATGAGGGTTTTAGCTCAAAATCGTTTCGAGTAATAGCTGGGGCAGCAATGCTACTTCTAGGCTCCATCTGAGAGGGTGTAGCGTATGCCTTCAGCGGTTTGTTTTGAGGTCCTTCAGCCATCTTTGGTTCTTCTTCAGATTTGGGAATGTGAGTGAGAGGATCGGGAATGTTATGTTTTTGTTGGTACTCAATGATGCGACTTCTTAAATGTAAGAAGCGCTCTAGTTCTGCGACTGAAGGTTTTAAGATATCGCCTTGTGGGCGATTACTTGGCATACAATCGACAGAACCAGTAAAGGGAAAATAAAAATAGTTAACCTAGTCTATACGGCGTAACAGAAGGTTACACTATTGACTAAACGGGTCCCCGGCAACGGCGCCAAAAACTTGATCGCGACTTTCTATGTCTAATACAACTTAACTGCAAGTGCACAGTCTATCGCGTAGTAATAAAAGATATCGATCCCACAAGGACTCGTAATCAAACTAGTGTTCTCGGGAGTTACTATGTTTAGCTAGGTAGATAATGTTTAAGGGAATAATTGCTATTACTAAAGGGAACTAAAAAACGTTACTTAAATTATAATTACGCGAATCGATATGCAATAATTATGTTCTTCGGGGATTTGACAAGTTACCGGTATATAAAATATTTTCAGAATTTATTTAAGAAGAAAATAGTGATTTAAAGACCTTCGTCTCACGCTGGTTGTTGACGCTAGTCGCAACTTTAAGGCGGAACGTATGCTGTCGCTATCCCGTTCGGGGTTAAAATCGCTTTTTGGAAATCTCTAAGTTCTAATTTTATTTTAAAGTGCTTTCGCTGTTATTAAAACAAATGCCTAGTGTTTACTATCTGGTCCTAGCCGCAGCTGTCGCTTGTTGGTTCGTACCTTAATTAATTTCCCACTGTCGTGGCAAAACTACTTTTAAATAAGTTCTCGCTGTCGCGACGAACGTTTATTCAGGAAATAAGTTTAAACACTCAGGCCATAAACAACTTTTGAAAAAGAAAGGTTTTAACCGGTTATTATCAAATCCCGTCTGAATTATTATTACATACCGATTACTCTGGTTTAGCTAGACATGGATTTGGAATAAGTAAAGCGTAAATAAAAGCAGAAATTTAGAACATTCATACTGCTGGGAATTAAAGTTACAATTAACGAAATAATAAAAACCTGTAACGTATCCAATTGGCTTTTGGCCAAATCCCAACGATGTCGGCAGGATTTTGTCTTCAAAGCAATAGAGCGCACAAATGAATATTGCAGAAATGGAATACAGGAAAAAGGAAAGGAAAACAAAAACTATACTTAAACTAAATTTGCTCTGGAAAATAATTTGGGCAGCACTTCGTTATCTGAATGCGGCTCCCTTTCTCAGCTCCCCTCCTTCCCCTTTTATAGAGGTGAAATGCTAACGGTTATAATTTTCAGAAGGTGGACTTGGAGTCAAAGAAAATAGGAAGTAGTGGTCCATCATTTTGGGACTTGGAACTGATTTTTGCATGTTAAATGAAGTTCTGCGTTTTTGCCTGCATGACGGTCGTCATGGTGTGTGACGATCGTCACCCGTGTGACGGTCGTCATGGATGTGTGACGGTCGTCACAGCAGCAAAATTCGCATCTGCTGTTTTTCATGTTGTTTTCATCTGGTTTTCGTCCATATTTCATCTGTAATTGCTTCTTTTCTTCATATTGCTTTGTTTGGACATGATCTTCAAATACCTGCAAAATATCAGACAAATAACATGGAAAAACCCGAAATCGGATTGAAACCAGTCAAATATTAGTTGAATTATATGTCAATATATATATATATACGATTTCGCGTTATCAGATCCTCAACTTATCCAAGTTGGGCGATGTCACTCGGGGAATACTGTTTACGAGTAACCTCGTATGGACCCTGATTCTATTGGAACTACTGCACTTACCAGACAGACTGCATCTGCGTCAAGAGGTTTCTGTTCCATATGAGATGTCTCTGGTCTGGTTCTCTTGGAGAGGACTAGACTAAGCGATAAAGAAAATACTGGACCTGATATGAGGAAGGCTCGACCACCGGTCGGAGATCCTTTGGTACCTATAAAAGGTGCTTCAGTATCTGATCTGCGCCTGACGTTAATTATGAAATTGTCGTTTCTTGACGTCATAAACTATGAACCCGTCGTATCTTCGATGTAACCCTGATAAGTATCACGTTGGCGACAGGAAGTATCTGCAACATTAGATTGGAAGATGGAAAATGAACCTTCGACATGATCTTTGAGGAGATTACCTTCATCTTCTAGTAACCTCGATGCAGATTCAGATCTAGATCTAGGATATAGGATATTTTCTTCTGTTGTTTTGCAGATTTCTCGATGGAATTTGAGATTTGAGAATCTGACGAATCACACTTGAGGCGATGATTGATTGAATCAACTACGACATATCTTCGTGTTTGCTTTTGAACGTTCTTGATTTTGAGATCTAAGGAGGTTGCGAACGATGGAATGAGAAAGCAAACGTGAATTCGTCGAAATCGTAGAAATCAAAAGTTGATTCACACAGATGATGTCATTGTTCCGTTCAAGAACCATAAATGAATGCAATTGGAGAATAAATGATCTTGAACGATGGTGTTGATCATCTATACAAGGACACATGATAGATTAACATGATTAATACTTCAATGCTCTAGTCATTTCCAAATTCAAGTTGGATGTTGTGAAAAGTAAAGATCAGAGAATGTACCATATTCTTTGCGCGTGAATGGATTTTTATATATTAAATCAAATAGAATAAATTTGAAATGAATTGAACCTCTCTAGCCAAAACAATAACTCCAATACTATTATTCTGATATTTATTTAACATTTTTAAATGTATTAATGTTTTGATGTTTAATGAAATAAATTAATTCTTATCGTTAAATACATTAGCAATATGTTAAAGTATTATTTTAGTAAAGTTAAATAAATGTTTACAATGACATAATGAAGTAAACTCTAATCTTCAATTAAAAAATGTAATCTCTAATCCAACGGCTTGAAAAATGCCTGTCACCGTTGTAAAATGAACAACGCGCATTCATTCATTTTTGTATCAGATATTTACAGTATCTAATCTTCTAGATTAAAAGAAAAGCAGAAGAAGGAAGAAGAGGAATCGAGCAATCAAGACGAAGATGATGATGTTTGATCAGCAGCCGCAGGCGCAGCAGGATAGGCGAGGCTACACAACTGTGAAAAATGATCAAGAATTCGACATCGAATCAGGAGAAACCCTCTACCCAGGTCTCAGCGTCGGTGAAAATCAACTCCGTTGGGGTTTCATCCGTAAAGTCTACGGAATCCTCTGCGCTCAGATCCTTCTCACCACCGTCGTCTCCGTCATAACCGTTTTCTACGCTCCTCTTAATCTTCTCCTTAGGGGAAATTCTCCTCTTCTCCTGTTCCTCGTTTTCCTCCCTTTTATCTGTACGATTATCTCTTTCATGATTTTCTGTAATTGTTGCTCAATTGCGCAGATCTGAATTGATTTGATTTGATCTGAATTTTGTTTTGCAGTTTTGATTCCTTTGTTGAGGTATCAACAGAAGCATCCTCATAATTATATTTTGCTTGGACTTTTCACTTTGTCGATTAGCTTCACCGTTGGAGTTACATGTGCTAATACAGATGGTAGGGTTTAGTTTTCGATTTTGATTGTTGATTTCGCGTATGGTATTGTCATTCCGTTATTCTGATGATTGATTGTATTATGTGTGTTGTTTTGCAGGGAAGATTGTGCTTGAGGCATTGATTTTGACATCTGCTGTGGTTTCTTCTTTGACTGGTTATGCCTTTTGGGCTTCCAAGAAGGGAAAAGATTTTAGCTACCTTGGTCCTCTCTTATTCACCTGTCTCTTTACTCTTGTCCTCACCGGCATGATGCAGGTTTGCATTTCATATCATTTAATTCATATGATTGATTGATAACTAGTTTTTTTTTTCAGGTAAAATTCTATGTTTCAATATTAGTGGTAGTTTGTGTGTGTGTTATATGTCAAATGATAATATTAGGATTGCTAAGTGGTCACATAGGATAATATAGGAGGATTAAGAACGAAATTGTTGTAGAAAAACTGAACCATGGTGATTTTTGGGCTCGCCGCAAGGGTAAATATCTACCGATATTGCAGGTTTTTCCACCATAATAATCTGCTATGACTGTGCCACAAAGTGGCCGATATGGCCGGTTTTTATCTCTCCGCCCTAGACTGCCATCTACCATTGACAACACTGGTTGAATCATGATGACATTAAAAGCTATGTTATTCGATTGGGGCTGAGGATTGTAAGTAAATTTGAATCTCTAGGATTCAATGCCAAACATAGGTGTAGTCTAAATCTAGATAGTTAAGGAATGAGAAGAAAAATTTCATAGAAGCACTTATAAGGAGGATAAATGAGACGTAATATTAAAGGGAGACTGGTGTGTTGGAACCCCGGTGAATGGTCTTTCAACGTGTGTTGAATCTGAAGCTGCCAGAGGTAGCATTTTGCTGTGATATGCTTAGACACCATGGTTCTCCAAATACACAGAATTTAAAATTTAGAATGCTTTTCCACTAAATGTGATCCAAATACACAGAATTTAAAATTTAGAATGCTTTTCCACTAAGTGTGATTCATTATATGACATGATGAGACTGTTGTCTTCATGCGGTTGCATCATCTAATGAAAGAAGGCCTGTCTATAGGCACACACATTGTTTATGTATGTGTGTATGCATGTACATAGTTTATGCTTGCAGCTTTTCTCTTGCTTAAGACTAGTTTTTCTCTGGTGCAGATGTTCTTCCCTCTTGGACCAGTAGCACATGCTATCTATGGTGGATTTGGTGCTATGATTTTCTCTGCTTACATTGTCTACGACACTGACAACTTGATTAAGCGCTTCACTTATGATGAATACATTGGGGCCTCAGTTACTCTTTATCTTGACATCCTGAACCTGTTCCTTTCTATCTTGAGGATTCTGAGGGAGGCAAACAATTAGGCACCCTTCGCGAATTGATATTGACCAAAAATAAGTGAAACTACTTTGTTGCATCGCATCTTTGTGATGCTTTAGTAAGCAGTATGCAGATATACAATGCTTCTCTAGTATTCCTTTACAGCTGATAGACAGCACTTTTGGTGAAATTCAAAATTTGTAGCTTTACAATTGTATTTACGTGTGATATAAGAATCTCCTTTGGGATATGTTATTTTAACTTTGAATTTAATGCTGTCTCTTTATATATAATACATAGGTTATCATACTTTCACCCTGGTATATTTGTATGCAGAGAGTTGTGATATCATTGCTGGTTTTATGTAAAATCTAGATCTGAGCACAATAATTTGTGGTGCTATGTGTTAAGTTCCCTAATGTTTGATGCTGTGTAAATTTGTTTATACTCGATGTGAAGCACATCCTATTTTTTGCAATAGGAACATTTTTCCTTCCAAAGGACAATATGGAGTTTTGTCAAAAATAACTATTGAAGTGTTGTTATTTGATTATAGTATATGTTAAAATTTTATAATGACAAAATAGAGGAATCCGTTTGTAATGTCCACGTGAAAAGCTCCTGGCCCCAATGATTTCCGACAGGTTTTTATCAAAAGTCTTGGCTTGTGGTAGGCGAATACGTTTCTAACTATATCAAGCAGCTGTGGCAAAATCCTGAGACCATTGAAGAGGTAAACATGACTGACTTAGTCCTCATCCCAAAAATGAACAACCCCATTAGTGTTGGTCAATTTAAATATCAGTTGTGCAGTACTGTGTATAAGATCTTGAGCAAAACAATAGTTAATAGACTCAAAATCTGCCTTGATGACATTATTTCCCTTTTTCAAACTGGTTTCATCCTTGAAAGGAACATAATTGTGGCCCAAAATATGTTGCACACAACGAATCATATGAAAGAGAAAACAAGAGCTTTTGTGATAAATGTGGACCTGCGATTATCTAAGTTAAGCAGTTTGTAGAGAAAATTTTAAATGAAGCAAGCTTTCCTCATCAAATGAAAAGAGTCATCATGAAGGTCCTTTAGAATGGAAATGATTGCAAACTCTTTGAAACAAGAAGAGGGCATAGACAAGGTGATCCTATTTTTGTGCTTGAATAAGTTATCTCATGATCAAGGAGGATGTTAGTAATGGGAAGTGGACAGAGTTGAAAGTTGGGAGGAAGGGTCCTAGGATCTGTTTTGTGCTTGAATAAGTTATCTCATGATCAAGGAGGATGTTAGTAATGGGAGGTGGACAGGGTTGAAAGTTGGGAGGAACGGTTATAGGATCTCCCACCTCACATTTGCAGATGATCTCTTATTATTTGAGAAAGCAACTAATAGACAAATGGAATGTATAAAGCATATCCTTGATGACTTTTGTGATATACCAGATCAGCAAATAAGCTCTAACAAGACTAAGATATTTTTCCTCAAGAATACCCCTGAGCATGTTAGAAGACATCTGACTTTCATGTCTGGTTTCAATGAATCAAATGAGTTAGGAAGGTACTTAGGCATACCTCTAACCGAGTGGAATCCTAAGAAAGATAATCACCACCTTTTGGAGCAAGTTAAGGAAAAATTGACCTCATGGTAAGGAAAACACTTGTCTTTTGTAGGAAATGTTAAATTAGTTCTAGAAGTCATTCTTACCTATTTCATGATGACTTGGAAGCTTCCTAGAGATAGCCTCAAACAAATTCAAAAGATTTAGAGAGCTTTTATATGGGGCGACACTGATAAGAGTAAGAAGGCACACAGTGTTAAATTGGACCAAATAACCAAGCCTAAAGATAAGGGAGGCCTTGGGTTGAGGGACTTAGTTGAGATGAACACATCATGCATCCGCAAATTAGGCTGACAGGTGAAATGTGGATCCAAATCACTTTGAACTCAAGTGCTACAGGGTAAATATGACAGATTAGAGAATAATTTTGCTGCCATACAAATTAAAGTTCACGACTCTAATATTTGGAAATCAATAGCGAGCTTCAGGTCCAATTTTAATGAGATGACTTACTGGATGATTGGAAATGGGGAAAAAGATAGATATGTGGAAAGATTATTGAGTTCAGGAGGACATTAAACTGGACCAATGAAAATATTATGGTAATAAGAGTGATCAAGTGGAGAACATCAACGATTTAGTGGATGACAGATGTGAGTGGAACTTGAACCACATTAATAATATTTTCTCTCACCACATTAGTGGAAATATATCAGCCTCTAACCCTCCTAATGAAGACATATGCGAGGATATCTGTAATTGGAAGGGTTCAAGTACATGATATTTTACCATTGCTTCTGCTTATAATGATATCTCTGATACCAACAATGATGATATATCGGACCATTGGAATTTTATCTGAAATTTAAAAGTTCTCGAGAGGATTTGTGTGTTCATGTGGATGGTTGGACACAAGAACAACAACATCAAGAAGCAATGACTTGCTTATAGGCATATTGGCCAGCCCTTTTATCATGACTACATTAACACCGAAGAATCTATCACTCGTGTTCTTCGGGACTATTAGAATTCAAAGTACATTTGCCTCTGTGAGACATTGGATCGAGCTCTAGTGTGGTCGAAGTCTGTTCGCAAGTAATGCGTGTTGTAGTCGAAGTTTGTTCTAACATGCATGAGTAAATATTGCTAAGGTTGTTAGCATGAGTAAATATTGCTAAGGTTGTTAGCATGTGCTATTTTATTATAAATAGGATGTTAGTTTCTCAATCTTAGAATAAGGAAAAATAGGAAGATAAAATCCTAATTTCAAGGGAGAATGGTTATTTTGTTATTCTTGTATACTTGTAATCTTGTTCTAAGAGAAAGGAAATAATAGAAGTTTAATAACCAATCCTTGTTATTCCTTGTTGTTTTATCTTGTTTTCTTTGTTAACCCTAACCCTTGTGAGTTTCTTGATCATTAAGAAACCGTTTATACTTTGTTTAAAGGTATCCGATTCACAACAAATTGGTGCGGTGAGCGTGGAGAAGATGCCTTCAACAAAGTATGAGATTGAAAAGTTCACCGGAGTGAACGACTTCGGTCCGTGGCGCTTGAAGATGAAAGCCCTATTGGTTCAGCAGGGTTGTTTGGAAGCGTTGAAGGGTGAGGCAGCCATGGACGCTGCGTTAACGGCAAAAGAAAAGACGGGCATGATCGAGAAAGCCCACAGCGCAATATTATTGAGCCTTGGTGATAAGGTTCTTCGACATGTATCAAAGGAGACTACAGCATCGGGATTATGGGTGAAACTTGAAAGTTTGTACATGACCAAATCTCTGGTGAATCGACTATACTTGAAGCAAGCTTTATATTCATTCAAGATGAGTGAAGACAAAGTGTTGGCTGAGCAGTTGGATATGTTCAACAAGCTGATTCTTGATCTTGAAAATATTGATGTGAAGATCGATGATGAAGATCAAGCACTATTGCTGTTGTGTGCTTTGTCCAGAACACATGCTCACTTCAAAGAAACTCTCTTGTATGGAAGGGAGTCACTGACCTTTGAAGAAGTTCAATCAGCCTTGTATTCTAAGGACTTGAACGAACGAAAGGAGCATAAACCTTCGACGATGGGCGAAGGTTTGGCCGTTAAGGGAAAATTCTTGCGAAAGGATGGTAAGTTCGACAAGAAAAAAGGTAAAAGTCAACAGAAGTCTTATAGTGGCGAAACATCTAGTATTCGATGTTACCACTGTAAGAAGGAGGGTCACATAAGAAAGTTGTGCCCTGAACGCCTGAAAGATCATGGAGGTAATGGCAATGCAGCCATTGTTCAAGATGACTTCGACTCATCTGATGTTCTTGTGGTTTCAAGTGGCGACTCGAGGAAAGAGTGGATTATGGATTCAGGTTGCACTTGGCACATGACTCCAAACAGAGAATTGTTCGAGGAGCTATGTGATCAAGATGGTGGATCTGTGCTGTTAGGAAACAACAAATCTTGCAAAATTGCAGGTATTGGATCTGTGAGATTCAAGCTCCATGATGAGTCAATAAGGTTATTGACTGAAGTCAGGTACGTACCTGACTTGAAGAGAAATTTGATTTCTCTTGGTGAATTCGACAGAAAAGGATATGTTTTTCAAGGAGAGAAAAGTATCCTAAGAGTCATGAAGGGGTCGAAGGAAGTCTTGAGAGGCGTGAAGAAACAAGGCTTGTATACCCTTGAGGCTGAGGTTGTAAGTGGTTCGACAAATGTTGCATCCACGAAATCTATGTCGAAGACAAAATTATGGCACATGAGATTGGGCCATGTCAGCGAAAGAGGCCTGGTCGAATTGGGGAAGCAGAACCTGCTAGGAGGTGACAAAGTCGAAAAGTTGGAATTTTGTGAATCTTGTGTATTTGGTAAATCCTGTAGGGCGAAGTTTAACAAAGGCAAGCAAAGAACACATGGATCCCTGGATTACATTCATGCTGATCTTTGGGGGCCTGCAAGGAATCCTTCACACTCAGGTGCAAGGTATTTTCTATCCATCGTTGATGACTATTCCAGAAAACTATGGGTATTCATTCAGAAGATGAAGGATGAAACTTTTGAGAATTTCAAAAGTTGGAAGATTCTAGTCGAAACTCAGACTGGCAGAAAGGTTAAGAGGTTGAGAACCGACAATGGCCTTGAATTCTGCAACGAAGCTTTCGACAGTTACTGTGTTGGGTCTGGGATTGCAAGGCATAAGACTGTAGCAGGTACTCCTCAACAAAATGGCTTAGCTGAGAGATTCAATCGAACAATCCTTGAAAGGTTAGATGCATGTTGGTTAGTGCTGGATTGAAGAAGGTGTTTTGGGCGGAAGCTGTTTCGACAACAGCTTACCTGATAAATAGATGTCCCTCGACTGCCTTGGGAATGAAGACACCTGAAGAAGTTTGGTCGGGACATCCACCTAGTCTCGACAGGCTGAGAGTATTTGGCTGTGTGGCCTATGCTCATATTAGGCAAGACAAGGTCGAACCTAGAGCTCTGAAGTGCATGTTCATGGGATACCCTGAAGGAGTCAAAGCTTATAGGCTATGGTGCCTAGAGCCAGGTCACAGGAGGTGTATCACCAGTCGAGATGTAGTTTTCAACGAAGCAGAGATGACTTTCAAGAAAACTGATGATGCTGACGAAGAGCTGGAACAGGGAGAGATTCCTGTTGAGGTGGAGCATGTTGATGCTGAATTGCTTACCCCAGATGAAGTCGAAGAAGACACAGAAGATGTTGTCGAAGATGAGGAGACTGATAATGACTACCTGCTAGCAAGAGACAGGTCGAGGAGAGTCATCAAGCCACCTCAGAGACTTGGGTATGCAGATCTTATAGCTTATGTCTTAATCTCTGCAAGTGAGGTTCTAGACGAAGAACCTAGAGACTATAAGGAAGTTATGAGGAATCAAAAGAAGACAAATTGGTCTTTGATGTATGCTATGGTCTGTACTAGACCCGACATAGCATATGCAGTAAGTCTTGTAAGCAGGTACATGGCGAATCCTGGAAAGGCTCACTGGCAAGCATTGAAGTGGATTTTAAGGTACATAAATGGGTCTCTAAATAGAGTCCTAATTTATGGTGGAGCCTTAGGTGAAGATAGTAAAGCAGCAATCGATGGATATGTCGACTCTGATTATGCAGGTTGTATGGATTCCAGAAAATCTATCTCTAGATATGTGTTCACTATGTTTGGGACAACAATCAGTTGGAAAGCAACACTTCAGAAGGTCGTTGCCCTATCAACCACTGAAGCGGAGTATATTGCCCTAACTGAAGCTGTGAAGGAAGCATTGTGGCTTGAAGGTTTTGCAAAGGAGCTAAAACTTCAAGGTCGAGTTATCACTGTTAAATGTGATAGTCAAAGTGCAATACACCTGTCGAAGAATTCAGCCTATCATGAGCGAACCAAGCACATTGATGTGAGGCTGCATTTCATCAGAGGGGTAATCGAGCGTGGAGAAGTCCAAGTGCTGAAAGTTTCGACAGATCATAATGCTGCTGATATGATCACCAAGACATTGCCCAGTTGCAAGCTTTTCCACTGTATGCAGTTAATAAATCTGCATGAAGAAAGCTAGTTTCTTGATGTTATAGAGTTAGATCCAAGGTGGAGATTTGTGAGACATTGGATCGAGCTCTAGTGTGGTCGAAGTCTGTTCGCAAGTAATGCGTGTTGTAGTCGAAGTTTGTTCTAACATGCATGAGTAAATATTGCTAAGGTTGTTAGCATGAGTAAATATTGCTAAGGTTGTTAGCATGAGTAAATATTGCTAAGGTTGTTAGCATGTGCTATTTTATTATAAATAGGATGCTAGTTTCTCAATCTTAGAATAAGGAAAAATAGGAAGATAAAATCCTAATTTCAAGGGAGAATGGTTATTTTGTTATTCTTGTATACTTGTAATCTTGTTCTAAGAGAAAGGAAAGAATAGCAGTTTAATAACCAATCCTTGTTATTCCTTGTTGTTTTACCTTGTTTTCTTTGTTAACCCTAACCCTTGTGAGTTTCTTGATCATTAAGAAACCGTTTATACTTTGTTTAAAGGTATCCGATTCACAACAACCTCCAACTTGAAGTTTCAAATGTTGTTGACAATTTTTTTACTATGATTTGCAAGTATGGTTCAAGGTTTATCATTATTTAATAAATGGGGATAAGTGAAGCTAAAAGTGGGCAGCAACTTGCCACATGCTGAGGTTCTGGCGTAATCAACGGATCCATAATGCCGATTTCGTAATGTCTATGAACATGGTGGATGAAATCAGTAGGAGAGTTAAGTTCTACATAGATAACGTAACATTAGCTCAGAGAATTCACAAGAAATAGTCAATCACTAAGCTTGTTACTTGGAAACCTCTTATCGAGAAGTAGATCACGCTTAATACCGATGGCGTCATCAAGAATAAATCGAAATCTAGGTGCGGAGGAATCTTGAGAAATTACAAGGTTGATTTGTATGGAGGCTTCTCAGTTAACATATGATCGAGTACGGTGATTGAAGGGGAGTTACATGGTATTAAGGTCGGTCTTCAATACGCACATGATAGAGGGTTCAAAGAGGTCAACCTGCAAATGGACAAAAATGTACTTTTCAATGCCATAAATAAAAACGACATCAGAATTCATTCGATTCAGACAAACCTAGACATATCATGCTGCACCTTAATATGGATTGGAAAGTAAAAATCCATCACATTTACCGAGAAGCCAACAAGTGCGCTGATGCGTTGGCTAACCTGAGCATCAATCATAGTTTGGACAAAGTGTTATAAGAATTTTGTCCTTAATAGATTTTTGAATTAGCTCAATAAATTTCTGAGCTAGTTAGATCAAACTCTTTAGAAGATTTTATTCCGTATTGTTCGTGTTTAGTTCTTTTTTGTTTGAGCTTTAAATCATCCATTGTATAAAAAAAGTGTCAATAAGTACTGATTGTATTTCGCTTGTTATACGGTCAGCAATTTGCAACTCCGATTTAGCTATTAATTCATTTTATCTATTTCAAAATTCCCTTGTTTATGTGTTTTCTTTTTTAAAACTAAATTTGATTTTTGTAAGTTAACTATTTTTGTATTTGATTAATTGACTTCTGGACAGATTTATAATATTAATAACTTTTGGATGTTAAATTTATCCCTAATTTTTTTTCTTTCATTTTTTCTGACATTCTTACAATTATCTAATTGACAGTGTTAACAACATACAACATCAATCAGAATCAATCTAAAAACAAACTGGATCTCATGAACTTAAATTGCATAAGGGATGAAACAATTGCGAATTTGACAAGAGATGAATCCATTACTAATGTCTTGGTTTTCCCCTTATATAAAGTATGAAGCTACAAGGCTACCTGTAAACACCAAATTACTTGCTGACCAACTTGTAACTAGCTATCTCATTAATAATAAAATTACACAATTACTTAAACACAAAAAAGAAACAGACAAAACTCAGTCAAGATATAGATCAAATATTCCAAAATGTACAAAGTTCTTAATAAACGCCAAAGACAAACAAGTCAATAGCTTTAGATTGAGATTCCGTATTCCTTATGTCCATGTTGTTACATATCATTTCTTCAACTTATTCAAATTCCATTCAACTAAACGTAGTCTCAAGTTTGTCCAAACTAACTAAATTAACTATAAGTATGGTTGTTATTTGATGGGTGAAGAAAAAGATGCTAACCATGTTTTTCTTTCTTATGATATATACTATAAACAAGCTTACCCCATTTCAGAACATCTCCCATGTTTATTTATGTTCAAACAAGTACAAGATGCTGCAAGATCAACTCATTCTGGAAGTAGATCTCTTCGACAAGTGTTGTAAGGAAATTGTATTTGAGGCAATGGTGGAACAATATATATCAGTAATAAGGCGACTCAATAAAACACAATTATGCAATCCCTAAAATAAAGGGTATTGCAAATAACTGAACATTCATTCTCACTAAAAGATGCCACAGAACATGGCTAAAGACCCTTCAAAGAGGATGAAGGGTCCACATGGGCGTACACTTGAACTTTATTTCAATTGGTGCTCACTCTATCCCTTGAGTTTGTATAAGACATAAAAAATCGAGCGTATTTACATCATTCAGTAACGAGAAAAAAAATTATACACTTAATGAGCAATTTGTGTTTATAAATTGAATCAACAATGATCATGAACCTACAATCTGGTCATGACTTAACAGCCTCATCATCATCGTCATCAATATCCCAACTTAGATCCTCATCTTGATCAGCCGTTGTCGAGCTCAACCTCTTCCGCAATTCAATCCTACTTTCAGACCCACCAACTTCGTCTTTATTATCATCATTGCTTTCAACATCTTCAATTTCTTCCCAGCTGATGTCTTCTTCCTCAGGCAATGAAGGCGGGCTTGAAACAACCGAAACGTCACTATCTTTGCATGATTCACCACCGTTATCATTATCTGTCTTCACATCTGATGCCTCGTTTTTCTCATCCAACTTTTCATCTTGATCACCCACAGCCACAGTTACTGGAACATTAGATGCCACATTGTAATTATTATTCACCTCCTCTAATTTATCACCTTCATCAGTCATAGATTCAAAAGCAACAACACCCTTCTCATCATTTTCTACCTTCAAATCCTTAACAGTCTCAACATTAACACCTTCATCAGTTATAGATTCAGGAGCAACAACACCCTTCTCATCATTTTCTATCTTCAAATCCTTAACATTCTCGTCATTAGCACCAACTGTAGCGACAACCTTTGCAGAATTATCCTCCTTCAATTCAGAAACCCCACCTTTGGGTCCATTCCCATCATCATCATCATCATCAAAATCCCAGCTCAAATCCTCCTCTTCATCGCCAGAAATAGCACGCTTCACAAACTTAGCCCTGGCTTCCTCAGCTTGGTTAAGCTTATGCAGCTTATAAAAATACCTGCTCCAAAATCTCTCATCATCAATCTTACTAGGAACAACCTTCTCATAAATCTCATCCACAACAGAATTCTCTTTAATCAAATTCTCAATCTCCTCTTCCTTATTATCCAATTCAAACCCTAATTTCCACTCATTGAAATTCTCCAAATCTTCAGGTTCCTCCAAATATGTATTGATATCACCCTGAAGACCACGCACTAATACATCAAATCTACTATATTTCAAATCCAAACCTTGACTACTACTGCTACTCCTCAATATTCTCTTGTTACCGTTATTGCTTGATTCAGAATCAGAATCAGGGGATAAGAGAGAATCCCTACCGTGCGAGATAATCTGCGCCGTCGATTTCCAAACGCTGCTGCCGATGTCGTCGATAGCTTGGCCAACGGTCTCGAGCGATTCCTGAGCCACCGAGGCTCCAACATCTAGGGAAGCCGGGAGGTCTTTAACAGCGCGTGAGGCGGCTTCTCGGATCACCGATGTTTCAATCCTTAATCCCGAGCCGAATTCTTCAAGATCGTGCCGGTAATTCGCGATGACGGATTCGGATTTGGATGCTAGGGTTTGGATCAAGCCGCCGAAGCTCCAGGCGGTGCTTTCGGTTGATACATCGTGATCTGATTCGGCTTGGTCGGGATCATGCGGTGGCGAGTCGCTTTGATCGGAATCATGCGACGGCGAGTCGGGTTCGTCGGAGAAGACAGTTTTGAAGAAGTTCATGCCGGCGGAAACGAAAAGGGGTTGTTTGGAGAAATTGGCGGATGGAATCGATTTGTGTACAATGGTGGGGATTTTAAGGCGTAAAAGGACCACGGACGATTTTGTAACAAAAATGAGGTGTTTTTAATCATAAAAACATCAATAAACAAATTTTAAATTTATTGATATGCATTGAAAATGTAAAAATATTTATGACTGATTTATTTGAAATATTTAATTTTTATTTTAACTTTAATTAATTGATGTCATGTTATTTAAAGAGATGGTAGATAGTATTGAGTAATTAAATTTTGATCCTATGGTTATAAAAGATAATGGTAAGAATTATGTGAGATATTTTTATGATGGGTTGTATTTGAAGAATAATAATAATAATAATTAAGAATAGTAAAATAGATGCATCGTATGAATATAAATTGAATTGTTAATAAATGAATTAAAATAATTTATTTGTATATTAACAAATTATTAAATATTTTTTAAAATTATTCAATTCGAAGAATAAAATTTATTAAACATTTTTTTATTTAAAAAAAACAAGTGTTTTTTTTGTAAAATTGATTATATTTTATTTTCAAAAAAAATATTTTTAATATATTTATAAAAAAAATTAAATTTTTTGTATTTTTGAAAAAAATAAATTTATTTTTGGGAAAAATCAACTGTGTTTTTTTAAAAAAAAATTTTTTTTTTTAAAAGAATCCTTCTTTTTTCGAAAAAAAATCATTTTTTTTCTTCGGAAAACATAGATTTTTTAAGAAAATTTGACTTTTTGTATTTTCTAAAAAATTGATATTTTAATTTTAAAAAAAATATACTTTTTTTTCCAAAAATAAAAAGTCAATTTTTTTTGGAAAAATTCGACCTTTTTGTATTTTTCAAAAAATTGATATTTTAATTTTTTAAAAAAATCAATTTTTTTTTTAGAAAAAAATTGGTTTTTTCTTATAAATAAATTGGTTTTTAATTTAAGAAAAAAATTGATTTTATTTTTCGAAAAAACATTCAGTTTTTTTTCAGAAAAAATCTAGTTTTTTTTTGTTGAAAAAATCATTTATTTTTTTAAAAAAATTATTTTTTAATTATTTTTTAAAATATAAATCTAACAGAAATAAAAATAATTTATTGGATTTTTAAAATAATATGTTGGATGAATTAAATCAATCCATGTATATAAATGGATGAATTTAATGCAATCGATTAACTTATTTTTTTATGTAGTGGATGAATTTTTTTTATAGATAAATTAGATGGATTTTGTTTTAATAATCCAATTTTCATCCTAATAATAACCTTTGACGTGATGAAGACAATTCTCCTAATTCACATTATGAAGAATTTACTTTGTTCAAGAAAATGGTTAGGGAAAGACATAAACATTCACAAATTAAAATAGAAATTATGCTTGACGTATTTTATGATTATTTAACTTAATTTATTATTTCGTTTTGTTCTTTTAAATGGAAACATTACTAAGTAGTCCGTTAAAAACCATTTCAGTACTTAAAATAGTCTACGCCGTTAGTTTTTCTATAAAAGAAAAGAAACCTTAAATTAAATTATATATATTCCTTCTTCCGTCACTACAATCTTTTATCTCCTTCTTTTTTTCTCTATTCTCCTTTTCAATCAATATTATATCTTCAAAGATTGGATGAAGGTATGCACTTTAATGGTTATTTATTCAATTGTTTCCCTTTTCATATAGATATGAGTCAAGGTACCTATTATCCTCGCATTAGTGCTACACCAAGGAATAAGCTTGATCATTATGCCTCTACAATTGAACCCAACTGAAAGACACTGCCAAATTTGGTCGTCGGCTGTTAGAAATAGTGAAAAACTCATTCATGTTTTCATTTTCTTCTTCTTTCGGGGTTTCTTTCACCTCTATTGATGCATCCCTGTTGCATATATTCACTCGTATTAATTGCTTTACTTATACAATAATAGGGTTTTATTATGCAATGATTCCTTAACTCGATATGGAGACATTATTTTTGAAATTCAATTAATATCTTTGGTTTTGAAGCCTTTACATTATAAATAAAGTTAGTTGTATGTATAAATTAAACTTAGTTACAATATCTTTGGTTTAAACTTGTGTTGATTCGTTCTGGTATATCTCAGCAAATTAATTTTTTGTGTATGTAGGTTCTAGTTGATATTGTAAAATTGGTACAAAGTAAATGTATGAAAGACAAACTAGGAGGCTGGAAAGAATTCTTGATCTATCATAATAATAAATTTAGAACAACTTTGAGTGATACATCAAAGAGGTTCCATGAGGTCTTGGATGAATTTTTAAAGACATTCTTAAGTTATGAGGATTTAAAGGTGATAATTTTTCAATATATTTATATATTTTCTTAAAGATGAAGTTAGTAGTCAACATGATGAGTCTTATCCATTTTTGTCTATTCAGTTTATTTAAATTTAATTATTCCCCTGAACAGATATATTTTCGAAATGTGTTTTGTTTAAGATTAAGATAGGTTTTGCACTTAAACCTTTTCTGATTTTACCACTTAAAGTACCAGCGATTAATAAATATTTCTATATTTAACCAATTTTGACTCAATATTGATAGCTATTTGTTTTTCTTGTATTTTTTAGGACATATTCTCCCTTCCCTTAAAGTCACACTGGCTACATGTATATTTGGCTTTCTCACTACTCAGTATGCAATGAAGAAGATTGAAGATAACATTCAAGTTGCATTCAAATTTTAAAGAGATTGTACTTATTTTTAGATGGACAGCGGACTCAAATTGTTGTTGTTTTTTACACATAATTAATATTTTGCGGGCGATTTTTAACCTCTGAAAACAAAACCTCTCCAAAATAGAATTTTTTAATATATAAGTTGACTCAACTTATTAATTAATGTCTACTTGTCATTCCATGTAGCCAAAGTTAACGTTTTTTTTCTTCTAGAATTTTTAACGGCAATAACCTTTTTGTGTAATAGAACAATTCTAAAGGAATCAATATGTAATGTTTTTTAGATAACGAACCAAAGCGAAACATTAAATTAAATTATATGCCTAAAAATTAACACTTGAGCCATGTGGATAAAAACAACACCACTCAATGAAAGTCATTTATGGAAATGCTAGAAGAGTGAGAAACCTTAATATTAGGCTGGCTATTAAAAATCTTTGTGATCAACAAAAGTCTGGCTTGCTTTTAATTGTTGAACTAATAATTTCTTATGCTCATTTTCCTACTGAAATGTCTTAAATAAATCATACTTAATACATTTGCATTAAATTTTAGATAGAATAATGATTCAAACATATGCAAGTAACTCTCATGTGATTAGAAGATAGTTATGGAATGAACCTACCAATTTTCAACAATCCAATTCTAGCCCTGGGTACATGATAGGTGGTTTCAATGTAGTTATTGGTTCTGATGAGAAATTTGGTAGATTCCCTTCAAACAAAACTTTTGCTAATGAATTTCTTAGTTGTACAAATTAAAATGCGCTTATGCTTCTCGCCATTAATGGTAGATATTACACTTGGATCAATGGGAGGAAACGTAGTGCTTACTTTTCTATTAAGCTTGGAAAATCTATTTGTAATAAGAATTGGCTAGATAATTGGAACATTGTCAATTGTTCCACTTTGATCAAGAATCACATAAATCATTACCCTATTCTTCTCCATTGTGACAAAGGTATGTTTGATTTGGTTAGACCATTAAATTTTTTTAAGGTTCGGACTCTAGATGATAAAAGTAGACAATTGATTGCTAATAATTAGAATACTAGTGTGGTTGGTTTTTCTATGTTTTTTTATATACTAAGTTGAGATATCTTAAACCTTATCTTAAGAAATGGGACAAAGATATATTTATAAATATTCATCTTAAAGTCACTCAAGCGACTAATGAAGTTAATAGGATAATTTTTTTTATTAATGATGTCGGTTACAATGACAATCTTGGTTTGGAGGAAAAAATACTCAACTTCTGTTAGATAAGACATTGCATATGCCAGACCAATTTTGGACGAATATGGTAAGAAATAAGTGTTTTAAGGATGGAAATAGGAACATAAAGTTTTTTCACAACATAGTCAAATTGAGATATGCTAGTAATAAAATCACTAGAGTGAGACATGTCAATAATTTTTAGAGGAAGTTGTGAACATAAAGTGATGGCCATCTTGCTTATAGGTAGGTGGAAACATGACATCTTTGAATCCCACCTCTCTGCAAAAGTCGACTACATGTCGTGGTTTATGGTCACGTACATAGAAAAACATAAACCAGCAAGACCGTAATGACGGATAACATCAACAAACCAACAGTGGATTGTGGTAACTCCAATATCTTTCTGTCGTGGTTAATCATTTTCAAAAAATCACTCTCTTGTAAAAAGAAAGTATAAGCATCAATATGGATTTAATTAGTTGACAACATGTGTATTACAAAAGAAAAAATATATATATCTCCCCATGTCAAACATGCCTAGCAACATGCTTTTTATAATTATAAAGTAAAGAGGTGTCAAGTGACCCTCCCGGATAACTCTCTAATGGAGCATCTGGGTCGACTTTCTTTTGTGCTTCATGGCCTTCAAAGTCAACAGAGGTCATAGAAACCTCGGGTTCTGCTGCATTATATTCCTGAGATGCCTGAGAGGGTTAGATACGAGAATCAAGCGGTCGGGGTTGCGAAGTAGATGCAATATAAAATGAGTTATCAGAAACTCGTGGTCCTTCACTCATTGCATCTGCATTATAAACATAGACATATATAAATAGCATGTCCGGGGAAATTCACAAAATCCACAAAATCACTCAATTTTTTTTTCCGAGTCAAATTTAAAGACGCATCTTTGAAAATAATGCATAGCAAATTCAGAGATGCATCTCCGGACAAATCGGATTGTCTCAGCCATGACATATACGTCATTTCTGCCTAAACAAACCCAAAAAAACCTTTATGCATATTCGAATAGCCTATCAATTTCGTTTATAGCTACCTAAT